CAAATTTCTCTCATAAGAGCACAAGCAATTATAATGAATAATTGATCAGATCAAAAGTCACAAATAAAAATAACCAATTACAACGTCTTAACGTAAATTTATAGGCCACATCACGATATAACTTTTCTGAAATGAAATTTTAATAACAGAAGTGAGGTATAACTACAACCAACCTTTTGCAATGACAACCGAAAATGTTCCACAGGTGAGGCAGTTTTTGATACTTGACAAGCGGATGTCTTCTTAAGTAGCTACAAATGTGGTACAGAAACCGTATAACAATAAGCTGCATTTCGAAGTAGACTATTTCAAGATACTAATTATGTTCGAATCAGATAGTCAAACTTTCACGCTTCTGATTCCACATAAAATGATGGTGTTCATTGAGGAACATTACAAATCGTGAATTACAATGAAAAGGAGGCTCCAGAGAGTGGTACTGTTAATAGTCATACCTGCACCAATAAGAGTGAATATAAACAAAAGAAACTCCCAGCCCCCCTTCCACTTCATATTTTATCTTACCTAGAAGCTTCACTAGTCCAAAACCCCTAACCCCAAAGATGACTCGGAACACTCAAACATGAACTGAATTAGAAATTTAGAGACTTGTACTCTTAAATGCAATCACAGAATGCAGTTACGGTTATCTACCAATGAAACACAACTCATGACAGAAGGACGATAGGATCCAATTCATGTAAGCGTGTTTAGTTTGGTGAAATATCCAACCATTAGCAATCGCAACCCTAAGTGAATCTGTAGGAACTGAGACAGACCTTATGAAGCAAGAAATTAGGGAACAACTGATTGCTGGTGAGATAGTGACCGCAACAAGGGCAATCACTCTTGTTGCGGAGGTGAGTATTGATACACATATAGCAGAAGCTATGGCCGCAAGCAGTGAGGAAAGCATCCTTGATGATCTGCATGCAAATCGGGCACAAGAAATCTTTGTCGGGTTCAGACATGAAAGGCTCGGAGGAGGGGCCGGTGGCGGCGGAGGGGGTATCAGAGGCGGTGGCCGGGGGCTTGGGGAGGTCGGATTTGACGGCGGGGACGAGAGGCCCCGCGGAGAGTTGGTCCATGGGATGGGGAATTATCTTGGAGGAGTGGTGATGGTGGACTCGAGAGTATGAAGAGGAAAGGAGCGTTTGGACCGAGGGAGAGATCACAGAGAGAGAGAGAGAGAGAGAGGGAGAGGAATTAGAGAGAGGAATTTTTTTCGGGGGAGGGGGGGAGTGGGACCAAAGAACGCGGGAGCGTCATTCTGAGGGCGAGAGCAGTCCACGCGATCACTTCTCCTACAGCTTCATAACTGAAGCCACGTCATTCATCTCCTTTCAAATTTTTTTTAAAAAAAGCTATGAAAATAAAATTCTCTCCCTCGTAATAAGATAATTTAATTCACTATGAAGGCCTTTCCTGCAATGCCTTGCATGGTCTTTCTCTAGTTTCACAACAAAGACACATATTGGGTAAGGAAGGTTGAAATCTCAGATTACATTAAATAGATATAAATATATTTTTGTTCCAAAAAAATAGATATAAATAGAGAAAATTCTAAAAACAAATGGCCGTTGAATTTCAAATAAAGAATTATTATAAAAATTTGTTTTCATTTGTTTTTCGAGTGTTGTTATTTTTTTTATTAGTGTAATAAATAATACTAATTTATAATTTTGAAATAATACAGTCATTTTTCTTTTGAGATTTTCTCATATAAATATAATTAGTTAATATAATTTTTTTCTTTAAAATTTGAGTCTATTTTGATTTTGCTCCCTCAAATTTTAAACTCATAATTTTAGTTCTTATCATCTGTTTTAAAATGTTAATCTATGATGATGCAACGACATAAAATATGCTAAAGTGTCATTAATGACATTATAGGTGGTCATATTGACTTATCGGATGACATCTAATTGGATTTGTGTGGATAATAGAGTGCACTGCAATGAATAGCTCCTAAAAATGATGAGTGATGGGAAAAAACCCTAAAGAGCTGAGTTTTTTGGACCTTTTCTTTTTTAGCCTTTCTATTATCTACACAAGATCTAACAAGGTATCATCTAATGAGTTTACACTATGCTATTTATGACACTTTAGTAGATATTAAAACTGTTACACTTCTGAAGATTAACGTTTTAAGACAGACTAAATTCCAAGGATTAAAATCATATATTTAAAATGTGAGGGACTAAAATTAAAATAGACCCAAATTTTAAAGACCAAAAATTATATTAACCCTAAATATAAAAATAAAATTACATTGTAGCCCCATTCGCCATCATGTTTGAAATTACTTATGATCACGTTTTATATAAATTAAGACAAAATTCCTCTCACATACTTATCTTATATTACATAAATCACGATTTTTTTTTTTGGTTATTACATAAATCACGATTGAAAAACTATTTATAAATCATTTTAAATGGGTCCTATGACTTCACCCACCGCTCTTGCTTGCCATTTTAACCCGAGATTCAAATTTTATTTTTTTATTTTTGTTAAAAATATCAAAGAGCATAAAGATGTATTGGGCTAATGGGGCCTTTTGAATATACGTCAAACACTGTTAATATTACCGCCAGGCGTTAGCTGGCCATTCCAATTTCCAAATCCAATTATCCAGAGACGAAAGCAATTAGAACAACAAAAATCAGACTCATTTCCTGCTCCAAAATTGTTTTTTGTTTCGTTCTCTTGAATAAAAAAAGGGGAAAAACTTCACAAGGTTTTTTTTTTCCAGCACACAAAACATTTAATTTAATTATAAAATTTGCATTTATAAGAAAATAAAGTTCATAAATTTTAAAATAAAATATCAAAATGTATAATCATTTTATCTCTAAGAATTATACTAAAGTTATTACAAAATTTAAAAAGTAAAAAATTATTAATATGACAAATATCACTCTTATTTTGTGCTGCATTAATAATGCGGCATTTAGATTGAAGTATTACACATGCATTTGATATTATATATGGGAAAATTAATTATTTAATTCTTAAAGTTTAGACCCATCTTCACCTTAGGAGGAGTTTCGATTCCTGTTTTTTAAAAACATCTTTACGCAAATCAAAATAAATTACTTCACATATTTATTTTGTATACCGTAAAATTATTTTTAAAATTATGATTTAGTTTCCATCCAAATATTTTTTTAGTCTTTGGAGTTTGAATCACTTCAACTCAGTCCCCATGTTTCTTGCGTTATGAGCGTTGATATCTCTATTTACAAAATTGCTTCAGTCCTCCTAAAATCACCTCAAGTGCCACTAACAGGGACTAACAGTCTATATTTGCTTATACGGCAGTTGGTTATTACCTCCACATGGATTCTACAACTTTTGTTCTTTGGGGGGGGGGGGGGGAGGCAGTGGTGGGAGAAAGAGACAAGGTCATCAAGGCTTGGAAGAACGTCTTAGGTGAGGAAATTTCTCCATTTCATTCATCGAAAAAGTTCTTTGAGGTTTGGGGGAAAGTGATCGATAGAATCGAGTTCTTTTATGTTCTGTGTTATTTCTCTCAATCTCTGTATAATTTCTCCCCGTCTTCAGTTATAAGAACCCACTCAACGCTATCTTAGGCCCAACACTTGTGTTAAGCTTTGTTAAATCTGTGTGACAGTGAGCTTTTGTAGATTTGATGAGGTTTTTTGTATTAATTTTGTTTTTTGTTTGAGAATTGGTCTACACCCATTCATCGATGAATTCTGGCAAGCATATTAAGGAAAAAACCCAACGCCCAATTAAATTGCTAAATTCTGGTGAGCTCTCACTTTCGTCGATGACAGAGCATAATGAAGGCAGAATGATTTAAACTGCAACAACTAAAGATGGGGGAGAAGTAACAAAAAGATTGAGAGAAATAATGGAGAACATAAATGAACTTGATTCTATCGATCACATTCCCCCAAACGTCGAAGAACTTTTCCGATGAAGGAAATGGAGAAATTTCCTTGCTTCAGATGTTCTTCCAAGTCCTGATGAGATGTCTCTTTCTCCCACTACTGCATTTTCCCCTCCAAATGTTATAGAATACACATGGAACTAATAACTAGCTGCCATATAAGCAAATCTAGACTCTGTTATTCACCGTTGGTGCCACTCGAGATGATTTAAGGAGGACTGGATCGATTTCTTAAAACAGAGATGTCAACGCACATAACGGCAGAAACACGGATTGAGCTGAAGTGATTCGAACTCCAAAAGCTGAGTTGAAGATGGGTCCAACTTTAAGGATTTAATAATTAATTTTCCACACATATATATATATGTAATACATTACGTTTCTTAATTTGAATACATTAAAATGCTACTATATGGGATGCCATATATCAAGCAAAATTCAGAGGCTAAAGCCAAATATTTTGTGAGAAAAATTAGTGATTTATTGATGACATTGTCCTGAATACTCCTGATATAACAAAAATGTGAGTTTACCCTCGTTACCATTTTATGTAAACTGATCAGTTTGACAAATCATTTGTTTTTTTGCCGGGGTTTGACAGATCATTTGTGTTCTTCATTTATAAAATACTACTATTTTATATCTTTTGATTTCTATTTTTAAGTTAAAAAGTAATTTTCACTCAAAGTTAACAACAAGGCCAATGACATTGACAAGTATAACAAAATTCCAACCAAAAAGCTCCAAAGCCGATTAAAAACAACCTTCATCCCATAAACATATTTTCTCGAGACCACTGTGGAATAACTTTCTATACATCAGCTCTGTATTTTATTGATAGAGAACGAATATATATATATATATGAGCAATATGATAGAATAAATCTTCCAATTCAATATTCTAAATCTCTACCATAATCTTGAAAATAAAGACAGATATAATGATAATAATTACAAATCTGATTTAAAAAGTAATAGCAGGGTGTAAACATTCATGACTGGCCCCGTGTGTGTGTATTCGTGCACACAACGACGCAATCGCCTCCTTCGCTCCGATCTTTGATTCCCCTCCGAGAAGCAGATGGCGACTGGAGGCGACAATCCCTATCTGCCCCCAGAGATTATCATCAACATTCTCAAAAGACTTCCTGTTAAATCCCTCCTTCGATTTCGTGCAGTGTGTAAAGATTGGAGAAGTCTCTTGAAATCCCCCATTTTCATCGAGGAGCACTACCACCGCTCTGCTTGCGAAAACCCTCATCTTATCTTCCTTGTGAAACACAAAAGCAGAGATGGGTCCATATTTTTGCTTCGTCATGAGATGGAAACTGTCGAACTTGTTGAGGGAATGCCCGCGATGGCTTCCGTAGGGCCTCCTTTTTGCATCATTGGTTCCAGCAACGGCTTGCTCTGTGTGACACTTTATAGACGTGTGCTTTTGTTGTTGAACCCAGCTACTAGAGAGGTAAGGCAAGTACCCAGATCAACAAACGATGATGAGCACCGTTTATATTTTGGACAGGGATTTGGGTTTAGTCCTGTAGTTAGGGATTACAAGATAGTGACAATGTATTGTCATAGCGATAAAATCTTCCATGTAGACGGAGCGGAAGTGTATTCATTAAGAACGGGATCATGGAAAGAAGTAGAATTCGGAGTTATACGGAGTGTGGAACTTAAATCTGAACCTGTCACTGTTAATGGGGCTATATTTTGGTTGGGATTGGAGACTGAAGATCATCGTCACATGATAGTTTCATTTGACCTAGCAACGGAAGTTTTTACATTGATACCAACGCCTTCTTCAGCGGCTGATCGAATTGTGCTTGGTGCGTACGAGAACAATGCTGCTATGCTTCATCATTACTATGCGCATGAACCTCGTTTTTTGGATTTATGGGTGTTGGAAGAGAGAATAACTGGTGCATATGGGAAGAGTTGGGGCTGGACTAAGAAATATAGTATTGGACCAACTTTACGTCTCTTATATCCAGTATGCTTTTGGAGGAATGAAATATTCTGCCTAAAATTTGATGGTGCGGGACGACATTGTTCGCTCAGTCTCACCACTAATAATGAAGTGAAGGAGTTCCACTTCTCTTTACCTGTTGGTTTTGTGAGTGGAGGATTCTTTTATGCAGAGAGCATCGTGTCGATGTGCGACCCGTATGTTGAATAGCCTTGCTATGAATAATTTGTCACTTTTAAATTCTAGACTTGCTGTGTCTTGACAATTTTGGTGGAAATGTACCCTTTGAACATTTTGGTTTTATTTATAAGACTTGATGATGCCCCTTGGATCTGTTGTCCAGAATAGAGAAATTCAGTTTTATCTGCTTCTAACTTTTTATCTTTCTGCGGTCGTCGGATGTTTGAGTTTTACTTACTGTATGTTTTTATTTTATTTTTAGGCTAAGGCACGTCAAGTGACCCGAGATACTTTTTCAAGTACATCTCTTAAAATATTTTATATTGCATACAGTACTTTGAAATTTTTTTTTTTTCATGTTTATTCACCAAAAAATATTTTAGGGTGTTGACCACATTTAAAAAAATATTTTAGGATGCTAGATGCACAAAAATATATTTCACAGTACTGGAATCATTTGAAAAAATACTTTAAAATACTAGATACTTAACAAAGTAGAAAAAAGAATTTTGAGATGCCGAATACATCTTAACTCTTTGTTTTTTAATCATTGCGCAGGTTTTTTTTTTTTGGAAAAAAATTACAAGAGAGAGCTTTCCATAATCCTCCCACGTTGGTTGGTACGTGTGTGTATATATATTTATATGTCATAAATCAAAATAATTGATAGATCTTGAAACCAGAAACTGACCTGAGCTTGTGAATATTTTTCTTCTTTAGTTGTTGACAGAGCATATTAGCGTCATATAATTCATGTAACGGATTCCACCTAGTGGGATAAAGTTTGTTGTTGTTGTTGATTCTATATTTCTAAAGTTAGCTTGCATTTACCAGTTTTGAACAGTTGTTATGAGATTATGTTTCGATGAGCTATGTGAACAGGACTTATTCCTCCAATAACAACTAAATAACTTTATCAAGATATGTGTATGTACACAGAGAGAGTGAGAATAGTGTGTGAAGATTAAGCCTTAGACTAATTTTGGTGCAAGTGAGAGTGAAGAGTGAAATGGAGCATGACGTGGAAACTTTCCTATATCTGTATGTTCAATTGTGCAGAGAAAGCGTTCTTCCCGTTGGCATCATCTGTTTTGAATGACCAGTCTGTAATTCTTTGCCAGTTCTTCTGCAGCTTGTGGGTTTCCCTCTTCTCCTCCCATTGTCCTCTATCCCCGCATCCAAACAAACCTCCGCAACAAATACCATTATTCACAATCATGAACAAAGCTAGCATTTGTTTATGTCTCCCTTGGCCTTCTTGTTGCATTAGACTGTTACTTGTTCTCTGTTGGTCTCTCTAACCTTCCTGTTTCTACGTATTCTCTTATTTGCTCCTCACAATTAGCCTTCAATGTCTTCTTCTCCTTCTTCCTTAATTCACTCAAATTCACACTTTATGTGATAAACTCTTTTGTCATTTTAATAATCTCCTCCATCCTCCTCGTGTTCCAAACTGATTCCTCTTCAGGATCTACCCAAGTTTCAAAACAGAAGCATGTGATTGGGTTCATATCACAGTTGCTGCTTCAGCTGGGTATGGACTGGTGCTTTCTCTGACAGCTTGCATTCAAGAAAGTTTTCAAAAAGGTAAGTTTCAAGGTATTCTGGACTTGATAATATACCAATCACTAGTGGCAACATTGACAACACTAGTGGGGCCGTTTGCTAGTGGGGAATTTAGATGTTTGAAGGCAGAAATGAAGCAGTGTGGAATGGGAAAGGCATGTACTGAATTTGAGCTTTATTGCTACAACATGGCAAGTTTTTAATGTGGCATATGAGGGTTTGATTCTGGAGGTGTCTTCTTTATCCTCAAATATGATAAGTTTTTTGGGTTTGTCAATTGTACCAATTTTGGCCATAGTATTCTTCCGTGACAAGATGAATGGGTTGAAGGTAGTATCTCTGTTTCTTGCTCTTTGGGGCTTTCTGTCGTACATCTACCAGCAGTACTTGGATGAGACCAATTCGAAGACTCTACACAGAAACAATGATGCTTTATCCAGAGACTCACTCCACGGGGTATCTGGGCAAGTAGAAAACAGGTCACTATGATACTCGGAGTCCAAGAAATTCTCTGAAATAGACACAAAAATATTGAAGCTGCATGTATAAATACTTATCTCACTTTATTGATGTTTTTAAAAGTGCAAATCAAGTTTATCTAAAAATATCTCAAAAGACAATCTACAAATTCTCAATATTGTTGTCATGCGAACCCAAAGACGTAAAAATTCTTAAGTCTCACAGAAGAGGCATTACATGAACATAAACTATCATACACCTAAAAGATCTAAGGAAGTTAAATAATGAAGGGAGAATTAAATTCAGCTGAAATATCAAAATCTAAATTTCAGTTTACACTTTTAACAAATTTTCAATTAGTTCAATAAGTTTAATTATGAATTTATGAATATTATTAAAAGAACTGTAATGCCCCTTCCTAGTTAAAAAAAAAAAAAAACTAAAAGTAAGTATTTGAAATATATTTAATTGGGATTTTCCTTTTATCAGTTTATCTTGGAAACTTTCTTCTATTCATCTTCTTCAATTTTTCATTAAACCCCTTATTAGTCAAAACCTAGTCCCCCAATACGATTCATTTTCTTGATTTGATAGGCTGAACCCTTTCGCAGCCTCTCCTTGTCCAGAGAATCTACCTCTAAATTTTCTTCGAGATAATAATGAGTTTATTAGGTCTATACTTATCTAAAAATTTATATTAAATTATCATAGCATGATGTAAATCTTTATTTTATTTTATTTAAATTGCACAAATATTTTTTTTTGAAATTACATAATTCAAGAATGAAAAATTATTTAATACTTTAAATTTAACTTTAATTTTTAACTATTAATTGAATACTTTGAATCTGGTCTCACACACACACACATACAAATTAATGAAAAGTATATAAAAAAAAAACTTGAAGATAGATTTAAAAAAATGACAATCAAATCCAATTAAAATACCTATCTTCAATTTTACCTTTCAACTGTAGAGAGATGTTCTAGTTCTTTAACAACTTTTAAAAATCTCTAATTAGTCTTCTGATTTAATTAAAAATTTGTTAAAAGTATAAACCTAAAATTTAAATTTTGATATTTTAGTTAGATTTAATTGGAATTCTCTCTAATTTTGAGTTGCTCTCTTCGAAGTACTCAACACTTAAAAGTTTTTTTAAAGGGAAAATGACATTGAGGTCCCACAGAAACAAAAATACAACAAAAAAGTCCCCTGAAATCCCATAATTTTTCTGAAGTCCCAAAGGGACTTAGATGCAATTTTCAGAATCTGGAAATTACCCTCTTGCCCTGGACTTGTTATCAGAAAAAGAGACGGGAGAAGTTCATTTGGTGAGGATTTCCTGCGCAAAATTATTATGGTGAAGCTTCTGTAAATGCGAGGATTTCCATGGGTGAAGAAGATGTTGAAGCTTGACAAATCTTCAGGTGTGGAACTTTCTTTTCTCTCCTCTCCTACCTTTCTTGACAGATTGTGCATTTATTTGGGAATGGGAAATGAAAAAATCGTTTTTGCCTTTGGTATTTCAAAGCTTTTGTTTTTGGTTTAGGATTCAAAAGTTAATGAATGGAAAAGCTGTGTTTTTGGTTGGTGTGTGTTGTGATTTAAGTTGGGTGTGTAGAATGATAATGGATGCTCTGTTTTTGGGTTGTTTTTGGGTGGTTTTTCTCTGTTCTGACGTTAGTTTAGTGGCAAAGGAAGAAAAAGATGAAGGTTAGTGAGGGTAGAAACCCTTAGCACGAAATGGGACTGTGTTGTCAATCAGGCCGCGATTGTTGTCAATGTGTGCTGCTATACTTGTCAATATAGCTCCTTAAGTTGTCAATGACAGTTGTGTGCTTCTTGATGCAGGTTTAAGTTACTGATGGTATTTCAAAGCTTTTGTTTTTGGTTTAGGATTTAGAAGTTAATGAATGGAAAAGCTGTGTTTTTGGTTGGTGTGTGTTGTGATTTAAGTTGGGTGTGTAGAATGATAATGGGTGCTCTGTTTTTGGGTGGTTTTCCTCTGTTCTGACGTTAGTTTAGTGGCAAAGAAAGAAAAAGATGAAGGTTAGTGAGGATAGAAACCCTTAGCACGAAATGGGATTGTGTTGTCAATCAGGCCGCGATTGTTGTCAATGTGTGCCGCTACACTTGTCAATGTAGCTCCTTAAGTTGTCAATGACAGTTGCGTGATTCTTGATGCAGGTTTAAGTTACTGATGGCAAGTGCGTCTGGAAAACATCTATTTTGCTTTGTTCACATAAGGGGAAAGTTTATAAATGATGGAGAAGATACTATGAGATATGTGGGAGGTAGTGTAAGAACAACCAATGTAAAGGAGGGCACAAGTTATGAAGAATTGAAGGAAATTATATCATCAATTGCTGGAAAAGAAAGCAACTCATTTCTTCTGAAATTCTCAGTTGTGCAACCCCTGTGTTTTTTTGGGATGGGTTATGAAATAGGTGTAATTTCATGTATATGAAGGTGTAAATGAAAGTTGACTATGAATTGGCATGTTAGATTCTGCTGTCATTTAAGTTGTCATACCTGCACCCTGTATTGTCATTAGACCTGTTATGACTTATCAATAGAGCACTGTCACTTGTCAATTAATTTGCTGATGTAAGTTGTCAACAATATGAATTCAAGTTACATAACTTGTTTTAGTAACATATGATATTTTCAATCACTCTGTCATATTATATTTTTGGTTATTTGTCATATATAATCATTATTAATGAAGTGTCAATGGTGGCACTGTGACTTGTTAATGGTGGCATAGTGACTTGTCAATCATGTTCTTAAGACTTGTTAATGGCGGCGCTGTGACTTGTCAATGGTGGCACTGTGACTTGTCGTTGGTGGCACTGTGACTTGCCAATAGTGGCACACTGACTTGTCGTTGGTGACACTATGACTTGTCAATCGTGACACACGGACTTGTCATTAGTGGCAATGTGACTTGTCAATGGTGGCACACGGACTTGTCATTGGTGGCAATGCGACTTGTCAATGGTGGCACTGTGACTTGCTAATGGTGGCACACTGAGTGGATTTTGAGCACCACGGTGGATTGTTAAAGTTACAAAATGAGGCTGAATAGTTGATATGCCTTGCTTGGAGTTCAAAGTATTTGTGAAGATTGTATGCTCTGTAGTGGTTACTATATTCTTTTGTGGGGATTTCTATTTCCATATTGATGATTGCGTCTGAAAAAGAGGACGAATAAAGGGCACTTCAATCCCAAACACTTTATCGCAACACAGACTGTGTGTATTTATTTGCTGCTGTTATACTTGTCAATGACTACTCTTATAGTTGTCACTAGCAGCCTGCGTAGTTGTCACTGCATGCTCTGTTAGTTGTCACTGGATGCTGTGTTAGTTGTCACTGGATGTTATGTTAGTTGTTATCACTTGCCCTGTTAGTTGTCACTGGATACTGTGTTAGTTGTCATCACATGCTCTGTTAATTGTCAGTGGATGCTTAGTTGACTAGATGCTCTGTTAGTTGTCACTGCATGCTCTGTTACTTGTGGCACTGTGACTTGTCGTTGGTGGCACTGTGACTTGCCAATAGTGACACACTGACTTGTCGTTGGTGACACTATGACTTGTCAATCATGACACACGGACTTGTCATTGGTGGCAATGTGACTTGTCAATGGTGGCACACGGACTTGTCATTGGTGGCACTGTGACTTGTCAATGGAGCACTGTGACTTGTCACTGGTAGCACTGTGACTTGCCAATAGAACAGAGTGACTTGTTAATTGAACATAACTCTGAGTAACACCTTCTGATTAATTATATTTTAATATAAATATTATTTAACATTACAAATAAATAACACCTTCAGTTGTAAAAATTTTGAATATCAATTGTTAATATCCACATATACATTTGTTATATCACTTGTCATTAACTCATGTTATATTACTTATTAATATTACATAAATTTGTCGATATCAATAAAGATATAAAACAACAAAAATAAAAATGTGAGTTGTCCCCAAGAAATTGGTATCATAACATCTGATAACAAAGATAATAATATTATAAACATAATTTGATCAGTTTGTTACAAAAGGACCTATTGACCATTAAGCTATTGCCACTCATGGCTCACACCCTTAGGTGCCAATCATATCATAACACATCCTGGCATAACAGAACAAAAAATTAATGGACTCCTCTATCTCCTCCTCTTGCTCTTGTTGAAGTCCGATAGCATTGACATCACTTCATCCCTATGTTCATTTTGTGGATGGGTAACCAACCACCACAAACAGCCAACCTTCAACTCTTGCAATTCATCATTGGAGTATCGTGGCATGGTATATTCTGCAGCATCATGAACAGTGTCATCCCACTCTTGTAGCCAAGAGAGGACATGAACTTCACATGAATCACTGCCAAGCAAATTCAATATGTAAGCAGCATGCAATTTTTATTGTGAACAAACACAACATAACACAATCAAACAGAACAACTACACTCACGTATCATTCTGCACATAAACTTTAGCCCATTTCACTTCGTTATCAATTTTGTCCTCATTGGCAAACAACTCTGGCTTAACAGCACGCAACATCGTATGGAAACAGTTCATCTGCAAAAAAAAAAAACCACATAATCAAAAGGTTTTACTAACAACACAGCATCCAATGACAAGAGACAGAGCATATTGTGACAAGTAACACAGCATCCAGTGACAAGGGACAGAGTATCCAGTAACAAAAAACAGCATCCACTAACAACTAACAGAGCATCCACTAAGAAATGATAGAGCATCCAGTGTGAAGTAACAGCATCCAGTGACAAGTAACAGAGCATGCAGTGACAACTAACAGAGCATCTAGTCAACTAAGCATCCACTGACAATTAACAGAGCATGTGATGACAACTAACACAGTATCCAGTGACAACTAACAGGGCAAGTGATAACAACTAACATAACATCCAGTGACAACTAACACAGCATCCAGTGACAACTAACAGAGCATGCAGTGACAACTACGCAGGCTGCTAGTGACAACTATAAGAGTAGTCATTGACAAGTATAACAGCAGCAAATAAATACACACAGTCTGTGTTGCGATAAAGTGTTTGGGATTGAAGTGCCCTTTATTCGTCCTCTTTTTCAGACGCAATCATCAATATGGAAATAGAAATCCCCACAAAAGAATATAGTAACCACTACAGAGCATACAATCTTCACAAATACTTTGAACTCCAAGCAAGGCATATCAACTATTCAGCCTCATTTTTGTAACTTTAACAATCCACCGTGGTGCTCAAAATCCACTCAGTGTGCCACCATTAGCAAGTCACAGTGCCACCATTGACAAGTCGCATTGCCACCAATGACAAGTCCGTGTGCCACCATTGACAAGTCACATTGCCACTAATGACAAGTCCGTGTGTCACGATTGACAAGTCATAGTGTCACCAACGACAAGTCAGTGTGCCACTATTGGCAAGTCACAGTGCCACCATTGACAAGTCACAGCGCCGCCATTAACAAGTCTTAAGAACATGATTGACAAGTCACTATGCCACCATTAACAAGTCACAGTGCCACCATTGACACTTCATTAATAATGATTATATATGACAAATAACCAAAAATATAATATGACAGAGTGATTGAAAATATCATATGTTACTAAAACAAGTTATGTAACTTGAATTCATATTGTTGACAACTTACATCAGCAAATTAATTGACAAGTGACAGTGCTCTATTGATAAGTCATAACAGGTCTAATGACAATACAGGGTGCAGGTATGACAACTTAAATGACAGCAGAATCTAACATGCCAATTCATAGTCAACTTTCATTTACACCTTCATATACATGAAATTACACCTATTTCATAACCCATCCCAAAAAACACAGGGGTTGCACAACTGAGAATTTCAGAAGAAATGAGTTGCTTTCTTTTCCAGCAATTGATGATATAATTTCCTTCAATTCTTCATAACTTGTGCCCTCCTTTACATTGGTTGTTCTTACACTACCTCCCACATATCTCATAGTATTTTCTCCATCATTTATAAACTTTCCCCTTATGTGAACAAAGCAAAATAGATGTTTTCCAGACGCACTTGCCATCAGTAACTTAAACCTGCATCAAGAATCACGCAACTGTCATTGACAACTTAAGGAGCTACATTGACAAGTGTAGCGGCACACATTGACAACAATCGCGGCCTGATTGACAACACAATCCCATTTCGTGCTAAGGGTTTCTATCCTCACTAACCTTCATCTTTTTCTTCCTTTGCCACTAAACTAACGTCAGAACAGAGGAAAACCACCCAAAAACAACCCAAAAACAGAGCACCCATTATCATTCTACACACCCAACTTAAATCACAGCACACACCAACCAAAAACACAGCTTTTCCATTCATTAACTTCTGAATCCTAAACCAAAAACAAAAGCTTTTAAATACCATCAGTAACTTAAACCTGCATCAAGAAGCACGCAACTGTCATTGACAACTTAAGGAGCTACATTGACAAGTATAGCGGCACACATTGACAACAATCGCGGCTTGATTGACAACACAGTCCCATTTCGTGCTAAGGGTTTCTACCCTCACTAACCTTCATCTTTTTCTTCCTTTGCCACTAAACTAACGTCAGAACAGAGGAAAACCACCCAAAAACAGAGCACCCATTATCATTCTACACACCCAACTTAAATCACAACACACACTAACCAAAAACACAGCTTTTCCATTCATTAACTTCTGAATCCTAAACCAAAAACAAAAGCTTTGAAATATCAAAGGCAAAAACGATTTTTTCATTTCCCATTCCCAAATAAATGCACAATCTGTCAAGAAAGGTAGGAGAGAAGAGAAAAGAAAGTTCCACACCTGAAGATTTGTCAAGCTTCAACATCTTCTTCACCCATGGAAATCCTTGCATTTACAGAAGCTTCACCATGATAATTTTGCGCAGGAAATTCTCACCAAATGAACTTCTCCCGTCTCTTTTTCTGATAACAGGTCCAGGGCAAAAGGGTAATTTTCAGATTCTGAAAATTGCATCTAAGTCCCTTTGGGACTTCAGAAAAATTATGGGATTTCAGGGGACCTTTTTGCTGTATTTTTGCTTCTGTGGGACCTCAATGTCATTTTCCCTTTTTTAAATGGCCGCTTAGCTATCTGGTGTATTCTTATATTTTTAGGTCGGCAATTTTATCCCTTTAGCCAAAACTCCTCTCTTGTTAGTTTCACATAAATGGTGAGAGAGAGAGAAGGGGAGAGAGGATGATGATGTGGAAAAATCGGAATGCATACGGCTGCCATGCAAGCAAATTCGGTCAAAGTATCAAGCACATGATTTAATAGTTAAACTTAACATTAATTGATGGTCAGGCATATTTGTTACATATTTGTTACAGAAATAAATTTTCAGACCATATAAGAGCTGAAAAACATTACTAGCTGCTGGTTGCTATTTTATGGATATTTTCAGAATATTTAAAAAACCTTAACCCTTATTTTTAATTAATTATTACTGCTAACAAGGAAAAAGCTCGACATTCCATGAACATAAACTATTATACACCTAAGGAAGTTAAATGAACGATAATTTTACAACAATGAAACAGCAATTTGAATTTTATTAAAAAAAGTGTAATACTACCTCCAGTCCTAATTATAAAATCTTATTTATAAATTATAAACAAAGTCTTATAATTAGGACTAGAAGTAGTATTAATCTACTGCCTCCAATTGTTAATACAAGATCTAATCTACAAATTAGATCTTCTATTAAAAGCTTATGACAACATAAACAATAATTTTCTTATAGAGTTCACACTCCACAGTTGCATATAATTCTTATGCAAGTCATTTGATTGTTATATTACACATATGTCGTGTTTGTATTTATTTATTTTTCCGAGTGAAATTATATATTTATTTTTATTACAACGTAGTTTTTTTATCCATTTATTTTTATCTATATATTTATTATATTTAATGAAGTAAATATTTTTAATTATGTTCTTGATTTCTTGTGGCGAAAAAGTTTAAATTCTCTCTTTGGTTAATATTCTCACTTAAAAATAAACAATTCTTGAATGAAAAATTGAATACAACATATGTAACTATGCATATAATTCACATTCGTTTCCTCTGATGAATTTTTTAAAATTAAATAAAAGTTTTATTGGGGTTATAATATCATAAATGAATCTCATAAAATGTTTCAGTTGTATGAGAATAACGTAGCAAAAAAATCAAATAATCAGATCTAATATAAAGATCCAAGTTTTCAAACCAAAAAAAAAAAAACAAAAGTAAAGATCCTCGTTATTATATTATCAAATCATAATAAAAAATATGTAAATTATATTTATATATATATATATATATATACACCCCCTCTATCCAGAATGAAACTTGCTTATATTCTGGCAAAAGAAGTCACCAATAACTAATTTGATGATGGAATAACAGGAAGCTTGTTGCATCGTTAAAACAGTCTAAAATTTGGTCTGATTTTTATTACTACGCGCAATAAATAGTACCATAAATTTTAAAAATATATACTCTATCTCCTTGTTAAAAATTGAGGAAAAAAGACATATTTGAAATAAAACACTTCATACTGTACAAAATTTTGTAAAATAACTTATATTTAGTAAAACAATTTTTTTTCTAAAACACGGACGCACACAGAGATATATATATATATATATATATAATATTTGTGTGCGAGAAAATAAAAATACGGTGAAAAGTTGAAAAATCCTATTGCACGATATCTCCAAGAAATATTACCCGAAAATGGAGGAACCCAAGAAACATTATTTGTCCTCTCTGTCGTATTTGCACGAGCGGAAGAAAACGAAAATCTACGGTCCCCGATCGGTTAGCGGATCACAAGTGTGTTGATTATAAAGGGTTTTTAAAAAAAAAGCATGTATTCGGGAATTGGATGTGAATTGGATCAATGTATGAGCAATTTCTAAATTGGCGCAAAACCTACACGTCAAGGCTCCTTCCTTAGTCTCGTCTCATATCTCCCCCTAGAGAAATAGTGATGTTATGAAGTTTTTCAAATATACGTTAAAAAGAATAAAGAATAGAGCAAGTAGAGGATGACTGTTTATACCTTTAAAAGCTCTTCAATTATACCACCCATTGTGATGATGCCAATACATTCCTCTGGGAGCAGTTATCATGAGTCGAATCTATCTATATTAACATATGGCAGAAGCTAAATATATCAATCATGGTACTTACCGTGTCCATTGGAAGAACCTTGACTATGTTTCACAACTAAACCCACGTGGGTGTTGTACTCCTCCAAATGATTCATAACGCTATACAGTGGCATATCGGCTTCAAACCTGTCAAAATAGGTGATTTCAAAGCATCATACATCAGAATCTACAGGGGATCAAATGCCTTCTATTAAATACATACCTTGGAAAACCTTGAAATGTCTGATTCAATGATGGATGACCCTTTTTTCCCGCATGTAAATCATCAAAAGTTCTCATACATAAGTCCCTGACCTAAAATAAAGCAGCACAGATTTAGGAAAGTAGAAAGAATATAAGCCAAAGAAAAATAATACTGATCTCATGATCTTGGGACACTAATTGGTAACAAAAGAAACAACTTGTTACCTGAACAAGTCCAACAATTTGGTCAGGTTTCTCAAAATATAGTGGGATTCTGCTATACCCTTTCCTCATTATTAAAGCCATCGTACCCCAGTTAAGTTCTGAATCCAATTTTAAAGAGAAAGTTTCAGCTACGGGGGTCATAGCATCCCAGGCGGTCTTCTCAAACAGTCCCAGCACCCCAGCAATGACTCTTGTTTCCATACGTGTCAGTTGTCCACCTTTATTAGCCTAAATTTAAAAATATCAGACAGAAGATGAGATGGACTTCAATCTCATTCGAGGCACAAAAAGGCTAAAAAAGTGCAGCATGCTTAATCAAGAAAAAAAATATTCTACCTATGCCTCTAGCCCAAAACTTAGAGCACCTCATCATTCTTCTTTGGAAAGGTTTAGGATATAAGACACTTCATATAAGTTATTAGGAAATCACGTACGTCCACTTTTTCAAATCCCAAAGGGAATTTCTTAATTGGAGATGTCTATCTAGAAATGTTCAAGATGATTGAGATCTCTTTTAAAGATTTATTCTGTTATGCCTCTTCATTTGAAAAAGATGATCAAACAATTCCCATTCATCATGGTAATACACAACAAGAAATTCTAGATATTACACATCTTTCTCTTTGATTGTAACCTCAATTTTAGGGATGGCTTTTCATAACTAATCCGACCAACAAAGCAACTAATGCTGAAAGCATACAAGTATGCAAACATAAAGCCGACAAGGTTTCTTTCTGTGAATATCTAATCTCAATGCTAATTCAAATCTGCAAAAGAACTAATGACCAAATCTCCGTTGGCAGCCAGTCGTCAACTAGTAAGAACCAACACATATTTACCCCTTCCCTTGCTGGAATTTGATTGTCTGCCAATAGGAGACAGCTCAGTAATTCGTGTTGCATCTAAGAACTCTATACAATTAATTAATACGAGGATTGAAGGTATTTATAGTTGTAAAGAACAACATTCCTTTAAGACAAAGCTTGTGTGCACAAGGACAAAATCAGGAAGGAATATATATTTAGCTCTCTTCTCTTGTCTGTTAGGCATCCTCGTAAGGAAACAACAATAAGGCTTACAGAGTAGCATGCTACTGTACTATACTATGTATAGAGATACAGATATTTGATATAGGCATATGTTATTTATAAAGCACCCTCATTTAATCTCTAAAAGATTGAAGAATTTGACTTATTTGAGCTCTTTTAGCTGAGTTTTATGCATATTCTATCTCTTGACCATTAAAGGGAATTGTACGAAGAAAATGGAGCTCACAAGAAGATATCCAAAGCCACAAAATACTCCAAGAGAAATTCAGCTGCAAGTACATGAGAAAAAGGAAAATGAACCATGCATATAATAGGAATGGCCTAAGCAAGACATGCACACACACAAAATTGCAGGAAAATCACTGGGCAAATCTCCTTTGGCAGGGAACACGCCATAAGAACAAATTATTAAAATAATGGCTAACTGCCAAAGGAGAAGTTGCCCTATGAATCGTATGCACCGCAGAGGACACGCACAGACACACAACTGCAGACTATCATTATTTATGGTTATGGCTTCATACACAATGGCATATCCTGTGGAATAATCCCTTCTTCTTTAGTGTATGGATTAAATACATTGGTTGTAATTGTAAAACAATTAAAAAAAATCATTAAGTTCTGGTACTGACCTCATCGCCATGCATCTTTATGAAGGCTTTTAACTCTGCTCTGCTGAAAAGGTCTGTTTTCGGATGACCCAGCCCCCAGTCTACAAGCTGAAAGAACACAGATAAATGCAAAGAAGGGAATGAGAATGTTAAGTTTCTTTGCTTACTGTCAATAGACCGACATAATTTTGACTTGTTTATTTCACCTTGCTTATGGGAAAAGCAAATGGCCAGCATATTAGTAGAAGAACACGAACAGTGGGAACGACTTTTGCCCCAATCTTCAGTCCATAGCGAGAACGGGCAGACCGTGGAATAATCTTACACAAATAAAATTAAGCAGATGTTAAAACGCCTGTTATCATCAAGAACATTGCAGAGTTGTGGATGATGAGAAAGATTTCCAGAAAGAAAAAAAGAAAAGAAAATCATACTCACCTCTCCGAACAGAAGAATCAATGCCATTGACACCAAGACGGTGCTCCACCACGTAACTAGATCGCCGAGGAAAGTAGGGAATGCCTCAGCAACCACGAGATTACATATTATCAGAGTACAGTGCAGTAGATTACGCTTTTTGACCAGCGTCAGTATTTCCTCTGTAAACAAATCGACATTAGTTACGAAATCACAGAAACACTAATGTACTAATTTCTTGATAAAAGAGAAGTCAAATGTCAAGGAAGATTGATTAATTTAAACTAGAGGTAAGAGACTTGTACCAGCGTATAACCTATTCCAGATGCTACCAGAGAGAGCAATCACTTCCAGATCCACTTGCCTGAAGGATAACAGGCAAAGTACAAGCGATGATGTTACTGCAGCATAAGCAATCACAATGGAGATAAGGAGAACGAAAATGCTGAAATCAGCTCCACAGCAGTTGATGAATTTCGGATTCGCCATTGGTGAAGAAACTTGAAACAAGTCAGGCAGTCCAGGCAGTCACTAATGGACTATAGGCAATATACACACGACAAGGCGGGAAACGAAAGCAAGGTCGGTAATGTTAATTAAAAAAAATCCACCAAATACTAAATGGTATAATCCTAGGTGCTTCCTTTTCTCCGGAACTTTCGAGACATTTTTAAAAGTTACTAGATTCTAAATATAAAAACTAATTTACTAATTTAAATAGGTTAAAAAAATAAGTTAAATTAGTTATTTGTAATAAATAGGTATTTTCTTTCCTAAAATATTTTTACTAATCAAGTGTATTGACTAAAATTATCATTATTAGAATGACTACCTTGAAAAAATATATATAAATATGAGAGACAAAGTAGATTAAGGCCTTATATTTAGAACCAAAATAAAAGTCAAATAAGATCTTATATTAAGAACAAAAAATAACATTGTTTATTGGGGTGTTCATTCTAGTCGGTCTAATCCTAGTCATTTTGTTCCGTCCCAAAATTTTTTAGGACCGAACAAAATATTTCTATACAGGGTGTCCCATCCTAGTTTTGTCATGATATGTTATCTTTTTTTAATTTTATAAATTTGTTTTAATTATCATTAATATAATAATATTATAATTTGTGTGATTGTGTTGTTTATAAGGTACTGAAAACCGGACCGTTTACTAAACCGGTCGAGACAGTGGGTCAAGGGTTAGTGGGTCAAACCGGGGTCAACCCGGAGTTAGACCGGTATTAATTAAAATAACATATTCTCAAATTTATATTGGTTATTTTAAATAAAAATAGAGTGAAGATATAAAAACAAATGTCAAATAATAATAAACATAATATTTACACATAAAATTAATAATATGTGACTTATTTTGTAATTATAATAATATATATAATATTTGTGTGCTATTAATAATATATATAATACATTAATTATATATAATAAATAATACTCCACTAAATCCTTTCCCAATTTAAATTGTGGTTTCATGTTTTATGTTGATGCCTCATATATCTTTATCTGGGAAATATAAGCCGCATTGCTAGCAATTAATATATTTTTAATATTAATTTAATTTATTTCAAATTTTATTTTGCTCTCTCCGTTATTATTAGGGGTGTGCATGGGCAGGGCTGGGTAGGGCAGGACCTCTGCCCGATGCCCAGCCCGAAAGATATGCGGGCTGTAAAATGCAGCTCGCTGCCCGGCCCTGCCCAGTAGAAGCCCTAGACATTTTGGGCAGGGCTAATGCGGGCTGGGCAGGGCGGGCTTTTCTTGCCCAATGTTACAATTCAAGTCTTGAAATTTAAAATACTACCGTATGTTTTAACAAATATCTATACTCCAGGAATTAAATAATATCCTTATTTTTTTAAAAACAAGACAATAAAAAATTATAATTAAAGCCTTAAAGTTCAAATGATTTGAATCAATCTCCACAATACAAGCTACGTTAACATATTCAATATTCAATTATATTATTAACTTATGATTCAATATAATCTATAGTGTTCTATATGTCACATTCAAATTAGTATAATTTCATGATATATGAAGTAATATCAACATGAAAAAGTTAAAAGACAATTATAGTACATAGCAAAGTAATTTAGAAAAGTTTAAAAAAAGGTGGTATTTCTAAAATAACTAAAACTTTAAAAATGTAGAGTCTTATGGAGCAATTTCCTTTGTATTGAAATATAATATCTTAATATTGCACTATATTTATTATAATTCTAGCAAAAAAATACATATTATAATATAAATAATCACAAATACATATATATATTTTTGGGCAGGGCCGCATGCCGTGCCCGTGGCCCGGCCCTGCCCGTGGCCCGGCCCTGTCCAAAAATGCCTATTTTTTCTTCGGGCCACTTTTTTTTGGGTTGGGCAGGGCGTTTTTTTGGCGGGCATGGGCGGGCAAACCGGGCTTTTGGGCATTATGAACACCCCTAGTTATTATTATTTCCAAAGCATCTCACGTTTTTCGAAGTTTGAATCATTAATCAAATCACATCACTCACTCTGTGAAATTTGAATACTCACCAAGCTTTTCGTTTTGCAATTATTTTCTTTTCTCCTTCCACTTTCTCTCTTTCCTCTTTCTCCATTTGTTTTTTCTCTCGTCTTTTTTCGTTTCAGATGCTCCTCTTCCTTTCTTCGTTTTCATGCCTCCACAATACACACTTCCTCACCTTCGTTTTAGATAAACTCAAAGGAAAGGAAATAGATCAAGGTCAACTGACTTGTAGTTGCAACGGAAAAAAGGTAAACTTGCAGAGCGGGAGGCAGGCAGAGGTCATTTTTTTATTTCTATGTTTCTTCTTCTTCGCTCCATATTCTCCATCTGGTTTATTTTTTCAAGTCACTGGGCTAAGCCGTCCAAACCAGCGGGTTTTCCGATTTAAGCCCGGTTCATGCCGAGTCAGAACAGTTCACACCGGTTTAAAATTTTTCCAGTCTAGATGAAAACCGGATCAGACAAGCGGCCGGTTGGCCGGTTTCCTGCCTGAACCGGCCGGTTCGGTCCGAGTTTGCAAACATTGGTTGTTTATAATTTATAAGCCTTTTTTCAGAAAAAATGACACAAAAATGACACTTGAACTTGAAAATACTAAAATAGTTACTTGAATTTGCAAAATCTCAATTTAATCATAAGTGACCAATTTGGCATTTATAAATTTGCTAAAATGACCATATTGTCCTTCATTTTATTTATTGTTTTTTAAAAAACCTATTGTTAACCACTATACTGAAGTTGTTAATAGTGTTACAAAAGTTGTTAACTGTTATACTGAAGTTGTAAAAATTTTCAAAAAAAAGTAGTTGCTAAAGTTGTAATGCCATTTTTTTGATTTTTTAAGAAAACTTGTTATTAAATGCTATACTGAAGTTGTTAATAGAGTTATGGAACTTGTTAATGACATTATTAAAGTTGTAAAAATGTTACTTTTTGAATTTTCTGGAAAACCTGTTGTTAACTGCTATACTAAAATTATTAATAGCATTACAAAAATTGTAAACTGTTATACTGAAATCGTAAAAATTTTTACAAAAATTGTTTCCAGCCACCAAAGCTCCAGCGAACAATTATCTTCCAGTTGCCAGAGCTCTGGCAACAGCTGCCGCCATTGGAGCTCCAATAACTGGCCGGCCAGTGGAAGCTTTGGTTTTTTAAAAAAATAATAAATAAAATGAAGGGTAATATGGTCATTTCAGCTAATTTATAAATGTCAAATTGGTTATTTGTGACTAAATTAAGATTTTACAAATTCAAATGACCATTTTGGCATTTCTAAGTTCAAGTATTATTTTTGTGTCATTTTTTTTATGGGTTATATGATGTGTTTTAAGGAATATTTTGAGTTTATATATTTTATGTCTAAAAAAGAAATTTTTCTTTATTATTTTTTATTACTGTCAATTTTTTAACCAATTTTTATTTATTTTTGCCGTAATTTTTATTATGAACTTTTATGTTTTAAATGCATTTGGTTTTAAAATAAAAAAATGGGAGAATTAATCTCCCAGTCCTTCTAAAATCTGCGATTTTTTAATCAGGTCCTTCTAGTTTTTTTCTTTTTAATGAAATCCTTTATGTTTGCCCAGTTACATATGTTAGTCCTTCCATCCATAAAACGTAAATATTCCGTTACTTTGAATTGACAGAGGTGATGTGGCGCTAACTAGGCTAATCTTCTTCCCCACCGTCGCTGAATCTCCCAGACAAGGATGCTCTATATTTCCCACCCAGCCCAACCCCACCCTTCTGAAGCAAACACATTCAAAACCCAGCCATGTTCAAATCCAACGACACAACTTTTGCACAATAATTTGGCTCTGAGATTTATAAACAAAAATCTTCATTGATCGCCTTAAGTTTCTCCATCTGAAGCATGCTCAAATTGAAAATAGCAGCAACTGAGGGAAGGCAACTCTTGGTGGTTGGCGAGCCTATGAGAACAATGGCGAAGTGAAGATGTTGATGAGAATCGAACTCGCTGGGTCGAATCCTATAAAATTTCTCTCTCGCCCAAGGTCACACATTCCCGTTATAGCAATTGAGACCTTACGTATAATGCCATTGGCTTTGTTTGGGTGGAAAAGGCTATGCACAGGGACCATGTGCGATCGTGATTTCTTCTCACCAAATAATCTCTTTACAATGGCAATCGATTGTAAGAATTTCTTTTTCCTTGCAAGATCAGAGTGGGTGCAGAAGAAGTATGGGAAAACATCTTTCTTCACGCAGAGAGTCAGCACGAGTGAGGAAGAAGATTAGCCTAATCAGTGCCACCTCACTTCCGTCAATTCAAAGTAACAAAATATTCAGGTTTTATGGATGGAAGGACTAATACATGTAACTGGGCAAACATAAAGGATTTCATTAAAAAGAAAAAAACTAGAAGGACTTGATTCAAAAATAGCTGATTTTAGAAGGACTGGGAGATTAATTCTTCCTAAAAAAATTCAAAGAAATTAGAAAGAATAAATAAACGAGACTTTTTTTTTATTCCAATTATGTCCCATCTCGATCAGGACAGAATGCCATTTGGATGAGATGAGACATGGGAAAGAAAGGTCATCCTATCTAAATTATGAGGACGAGACGAGACTGGGATCGGGTTATCTTGGTCTTATCCTATCTCATCCCATGAATACTCATAATTATTTGTATAAATTATGTATGATTGAAAATAATTTTTGATTATCACAAAAATTTCGCTATATATGATGAGTGATGACTATGAAATAATATTTTTAATATTTTAATCCAAATAATTAATAATATTTTTGTGAAAACCGAACGGCCTAACTATCTCACACCAACCTTTGAAAAAAAAATTAAGAAAACGTTAAGTAAAGGATCTAAAAAAATAATATTTATTAAGGAGGATCAAATTTTAAAATATAAATATAGAAATGCCAAGTGATGCCTAATTAAATTTCCTACCTTCAGCACTAAAAAAGAAAAAAATTTCATACAT